AGAGTTACTGTCCGCCCCTCTGGGTTGAAGGGGACTTGGACGGACCGATGAATGGTGTCTGGGTAAAGATGCAGGTGCCTCTCCACCTCACCTTGTTCGCCCGGTAGAAAGCCGAGTGCATGGAAAAGTCGGACCACGTGGGCCGTCCACGCCGTGCCATTGTTTACAGCGCATCACCTGGCAGCAATAATAAACTAGTACTTTTGTTTGTTAGGGAAACCCTTAGAAAATAAAGAGGTATCCGCCGCCTCCTAGTATATCAGAGCTGTGCCCCCCTGAGACCTGAGAAAGGGGCAAATTTTGGACAGGTAGTTGTAGGATCAAGAACCATGGGCAGATTGTTTTGGGATGAGACGTGAATGTTTTGTAGTTTTTAATTCCCCTGTGTCATACAATGTTTATAAAAGAGATTAAAATTCTGTAGAGTCAGACAGGTTGCTTTTAAGAGGATTTAAATAATAAAAATTTAAATCGGGGAAGGAAGGATTCTAGAGATGGTAGAGCAACACTCGTATTCTACAATTAAAGAAAGCAAAAAAAAACAAACAGAAAGAGATAGTACAGTGCCCAAAATGACACAATTAATTTAGTGGCAGAGCTGGGACTTTGGATAGTATTTAAACGGAAGTTGTTAGTCAGTGTTCTCAACGTGTGTTACGCCACGACATGTATAAGGGAAAATATTTTTTATTTTATTCTTACATAATTATTACTTAATTTGAGAATGTGCTTTGGATTTCCATTCATTGTAGCACAAGTTTTTTTAACATAATTTTAAGTATAAAGAACATAATTTGAGTACAAAACTGTCATTAAAAGAACATTAAATAAGCATTACTATATTATGTGCTTTGGATTTCCATTCATTGTAGCACAAGTTTTTTTAACATAATTTTAAGTATAAAGAACATAATTTGAGTACAAAACTGTCATTAAAAGAACATTAAATAAGCGTTACTATATTTGGTAAATGGTCAAGGCAAAAATCATGATGGTATGTGGATAACTGAATTTTGAAAACAGTGTTAATGGAATCACCTAGAATAGTTCAGGGAATGGGATATTACTTCTGCGTTGTTCTATATGGTTTATATTATTGAAACTTTAAATGTAGTTTTCAAAGAAGAATGGAGGAAAATATGAAGCTTGCTACAGTGGAAGATACTGTGGAGTACCGCCTGTTCCTGATACCAGATGAACCAAGGGACCCAGAAAAACACAAGGAGATTCTTCAGAAGTATATTGAGAGAATAATGACCCAATTTGCACCTATGCTGGTCCCTTATATCTGGCAGAATCAGCCTTTCAATCTCAAATATAAACCTGGGAAAGGTAAGGAAGGCTCCTTCATTTATTTTGATTTGATATGTGTGGCTTTTAAGGTTATTCTGATAACAGTGATGTATAATAGCCCATAGTTTATTCAGTGTTGTCAGATTTAGATTAGTGATGCTTGCCTATAATCAGTTAAGCCCTTAAAATTTTTTTTCATTCATATTGATGAAAAGTTTCTAATAGTCATTACCTTAGAAACTAAGGTATATCAACATTATTAAACTTGGGGCTATTCTTTTAAACCTTACTTTTCTGTGCTATAATATATCTGGGTACCTATACTAAACAGATTCAGGCATCTTTAGCTGTTACTCTGTATTTCTCACTATTGATGTGTTTAGTAGGCTACCTTGTTTTGCATGGTTGTTTTGGTAGCGATCTAAGAGTGGCTCTGCCTGGCTTATAAAGAGAAATAATTGGGCTTTATGGCCATTGTTTGCCACTCAGAAGCATTTTGAGATTTTTTCATTGTCTTCCCTGTGTTGTTGGTTGTTGAGATCTGACCTCTGGCCAAGTATGACACTTTGTCCTATGATTTCTTTAGCTTTATTAAAGTGAATCATGGATAGGTGACCAGGCTCCACTTATGCAATGACTTATGTGAGGTCTTGTTTCGGATCAGGAGGGTGGCATCTTGTGAGACCAGGCTCTTAATTGGTGGGGAAGTTTTGATTACTGATTCAATTTCCTTATGAGTTATAAGTCTGTTCAGATTTTCTGTTTCTTGACCCAGTCTGGATAGATTGTGTGTTTCTAGGAATTTACCCATTTCTTCTAGGTTATCCAATTTGTTGGTATACAATTGTTCATAGTGTTATGGGGTAGGTAGGTGGGTAGAATTACTTTATATTCCTTTATAGTTCCATGGAATAGGTTATAATATCCCCTTTCATTTCTGAGTCTTCTCTCTTTTATCTTAGTTAATCTAACTAATGTTTTGTCAGTTTTGTTGATCTTTTCAACAAACCAACTCAGTTTATGTTGATTTTTTTCTATTGTACTTTTGTTCTCTATTTCATTGATGTCTGCTCTAATCTTCATTATTTCCTTCCTTCTGCTAGCTTTGGATTTAGTTTGTTCTTTTTCTAGTTCCTTAAGGTGTAAGGTTAGGTTGTTGAGATCTTTTATAACTATAAACTTCTCTTTTAGCACTGCTTTCACTGCATCTCATAAGTTTTGGTATGTTGTGTTTTTGTTTTTATTTGTCTCAAGATATTTTCTAATTTCCCTTGTGATTTCTTCTTTGACCCATTGGTTGTTTAAGAGTATGTTATTTAATTTCTACATATAATTGGATAATGTACTTGTTTGAAAATTCTGCTCCATCCAAATCTAGCTACCTAATATTTGCAGAGCATTTGTGCCTTTGCACATACTTTTCTGTCTTTCTGGAAAGTCTACTTCTGGTCATTCCTCCAGATGAGCATAGCTCAGATATAACATCCTTTATGTTCACATAGTCCTCAGTGCATACCTCTGTTTATCATCTTGTTTTGAGATGACTTGGTTGTCTATCTCTTGTCTGGACCCTCAGCTCCTCAAGAGTAGGCTTCTTGTATCTTGTTCAATATTGCAACCCCAGCTCCTAGTATAGTACCCAGAGCATAGTCAATGAATGTTTGTTTAATTGAATGATTCTTTGTATGTTTATTTGCACTGGCAAATTAATTTGGTTATATGATTGCTTTTCTCTTGTTTTTAGGAGGTGTTCCTGCTCATATATTTGGTATGACAAAGTTTGGAGATAACATTGAGGATGAATGGTTTATTGTTTATATAGTAAAGCAAATTACAAAGGAATTTCCAGAATTGGTAGCAAGGTATTATAGTTATCTTAATAATTCTAAAGGAATTTTATTGTTGAAAATGATGACATTTTTATCCATTTAGTAATTTTCCTTCTGTTGTCTGGTAGAAATTGTACAAATTTGGAACACAGCTTTTTTTTAAAAAAAATGTGTTTTTATTGATTTCAAAGAGGAAGAGAGAGAGAAACATCAATGATAAGAGAGTCATTGATCCGCTGCCCCCTGCACGCCCCAGACAGGGGATAGAGCCCACAACCAGGCATGTGCCCTGACTGGTAATTGAACCACAATCTCCTGGATCCTAGGTCGACGCTCAACCACTGAGCCACGCCGGCCAGGCAGATTTTTTTTTTTTTAATCCTCACCTGGGGATTTTTTTTTTTCATTGATTTTCAGAGAGAGTGGAAGGGAGTGAGGTGGGGGCAGAGAGAGAGAAACATCAACATGAGAGATGGGTAGGATACCTCCCGAACTCACCTGAGGGAACATGGGGCCCAGTAACCCTGCCCACCCTTCAGTGAGGGGGCCAACGCTCTGACCACTGAGCCAGACTAGCCAGGGCTAGGACACTGATTTTAAAAGTGACTTCTATGTTTTCTTCCTTTTCTCTTGTGACTTCCTTTTCTCGAGAAAGAATGAAAGTATCAATGGAGAGTTCACCTTCCAAAAAATTTCAAACAAAACCCATTTGTTTTAAGTTCCTTTTTTTTTTTTTTTAACTTCTCATTAGGAAAGAACAAATACACATGGTAAAGAAAGTTCAGATACAAAGGGTGTACTGCTTTTACTTCTCGGAAGTAATCATCATCTTATTTCTTGTGGATCTTTAAAAAAAAATTCCATACACACACACATCCCACATATTTCACAGATTCTTTACCATGTCTTCGTCTGTTAGACCACAGCTAGGATTTTTTTATAAATTGTATATATAAGACATTCAAAGAGATATCAGTGAACAATTGTATAGATAGCAAAGTAAATTCTAATTCAGGTTTTTCGATGGGAACATATACTTTTCTGTAATGACCAAATTTTGCCAGCAGAGGGCGTTTCACCCACTTAGCTACCACTGGTCCTAGTTTCTTCGCCTCCATCCAAATTCTGATCTTTTTCTACCCACCCAAACTGTCCCCCAGCGGAACAAAAAGAAAAACAACAAATTTGAGAACTTAATATTATATCGAAATTTTAAACATATATAAAAGTAGAAATAATGAATTCACATGTATGCAATCACACAGCTTAAAAAATTATCAACTCATGGTTGTTCTTATTTATATGTGCCATTCCCCTACTTCCCTATCACATAAGATGATTATAAAGCAAATCTCCATTGCTATGCCATTTGATCTTTAAATACTTCAGGAAGTAAGTCTAAGTGATAAGAACTCGCATTTTAAACACTGCTGCCCGGGCCTGGGTGGCTCAGTTGGTTGAAGCCTCTTCCCATGCGCCAAAAGGTGGCCGGTTTGATTCCAGTCAGGGCACGTACCTAGGTTGTGGTTCCAGCCCCATGCCCATCTGGAGGCATGCAGGAGGCAACCAGTCATGTTTCTTTCTCTGTCTCTCAGTCTCTTTATCTCTCTCTCTCTCTTCCTGCCCCCCCTACCCCTCTCTCTAAAATCAATGAAAAACATGTCCTGGAGTGAGGATTTTTTTAAAAAATCAAGTAAATAAAAATAAACACTACTGTTATCACACTTAAAAATAATTAGCAATAATTTCTTAATAAATGATAGAGTTTTAAATGAACAAATAGAAAAATATTTGTTTCTGTCTTTATAAGTATAATGAGGGGCAATACCTTTTTTTTTTTAATGTTTTTATTGATTTCAGAGAGAGGAAGGGAGAGGGAGAAATAGAAACATATAAAAGTAGAAAGAATGAATTCACATGTATGCAATCACACAGCTTAAAAAATTATCAACTCATGGTTATTCTTATTTATATGTGCCCTTCCCCTACTTCCTTATCACATAAGATGATTATAAAGCAAATCTCCATTGCTATGCCATTTGATCTTTAAATACTTCAGGAAGTAAGTCTAAGTGACAAGAACTCGCATTTTAAACACTACTGCCTCCTGCACACCCCGTGCTGGGGATCCATCCTGCAACCCAGCCATGTGCTCTGACCAGAATGAAAGCTGTGACCTCCTGGTTCATGAGAGGATGCTCAGCCACCTGAGCCACAGGGGCGGGCAGGGGGCAGTACCTTTTATGTGAAGATTCTGATGTTATATATTGATGGTTCATACCTAAACACCAGGCCTATGAAAGCTCTTTAAATAGTAGGCTTCTACTGTCTTGAGAGGTGATTGTTTTTTCTAATTAGAAACAGGAAGCCTTTCTAAAAGTCTCTGCATTAATCTTCCTAAGGCACAGCTGTAACCATCTTACTACCCTACTCTGAAACCTTTCATTCCTTTTGTCTATAAAAACTAAACTCATTGTCATTGATTCTGCCAACAGTTAAAGCTCTTCCTAAAATGATATAACTGCCTCTCGAGTCTAATTCTTTACTAGTTGTCATTCTCCAAATATCTGCCTTTAGTTGCCACCTCCATGAGGTGTTTTTTTTTAAATTGAATTTATTGGGGTTAATTGGTTAATAAAATTATATATGTTTCAGGTGTACAGTTCTATAACACATCATCTGTATATTGTATTGTTTGTTCACCACCCCAAGTCAAGTCTCCTTCCATCGCCATTGCCACCTCCATGATTTTGCTTGTGGTGTTCCTTCTGCAAAAAATATCTCCCCTTTTCTCCCTCCATTTCCACCCATTAAATAACCTAGAACCATATATATAATATGCTACCTTTTGTGTGACCAGAGAAGAAAGTAAGAATTTATAGTTTTATTAGCCAGATTATGCATAAGCAATCTCTAGAAGGATAAATTAGAAATAACAGTGGTAGAGCAGTAAGAGTTTGGTATATAGGAACAAAAGTAGGAAAATTTTTCATTGTATAACTTTTTTTTTAAATCCTCACCCGAGGATATTTTTTCCATTTCCTTTTAGAGAGAGTGGAAGGGAGAGAGAGAGAGAAACATTGATGTGAGAGAGACGCATCAATTAGTTGCCTCCCGCATGAGCCCCCACCAGGGCCGGGGATCAAGCATGCAGCAGAGGTAAGTGCCCTTGGCCAAAATCGAACTCGGGACCCTTCAGTCCCCAGGCCAACACTCTAACCACTGAGCCAAGCTGGCTAGGGCTCGTTGTATAACTTTTTATGTATTAAAGTTTTATGGTTTAAAGTTTTAACCATGTGACTGTATTATCTGTTCACAAATTTAAAAATTATGCAAATAAGGCAAAATAAAATTATCTTTCAAGGCCCAAATGATACCTCTTCCATAAAAACTTAACTAATCTTGGCTATATGTGATTTTTTCTTTTAAAACCTTATAGTACTTTGTGTATTTTTTTCATACTTTTGTCTACTGTTATTTATTTGTATACTTATTTTCTCTCCAGCTTCCCCATACAACCTTATAGTCTTCTTCAGTGCTTAATGGTATCTTAGACATTTTGCTTTATTATAGCAATCTGCACATAGTACTTAGATATTTACTAAGATGAATGAAAAAAGTGTATTAGATGAAAAATATATTAATAAAACCTGATTATTAGCAAATATATGCTTTATGAATGCAAAATTGGAACTATTTTTGCATTAGGATCGAAGACAATGATGGTGAATTCTTGTTAATAGAAGCTGCTGACTATCTCCCTAAATGGTTGGATCCTGATAATAGTGCTAATAGGGTAAGTATACATAAATCTGGAAAATTTAGGGAGACAAAATCATATTGCAACATTTTTCATATGTACCTGTGTTTGTCAGTGCCTATTGTGAAAATTAAAATGTGTCATTTTGCAGGTGTTTTTCTACCATGGGGAATTGTGCATTATTCCTGCTCCGAGGAAACCTGAAGCAGTATCCTGGTTACCCATTACACCCCCAACAGTTCCACAGGCATTGAATATAATCTCCACACACCCAGAAAAAATTTTGGCTTCAGAATCTATACGAGCTGCTGTGAATAGGCGCATCAGAGGGTAAAAAAAAATACACTTTCATTGCTAGTCAGGGAGCCTTATGCTTCAGTGCAGTTCAAGTCTTTTGTTGAATGTAGAATTTGTTCACCTAGGTTAATGCTAATTTTCATTCTGTCTTCATCCTTCATGAAACTGACTAACAAGTTATAAGTAATGTATACTTACATATTTTAAAATCAAGAAACATATCTTTTAATTCCAATTTAAAAGTGTTGTAACCCAGTCCCAATATTTTTACATTATTTACCTTAGAAATTGTGGCTAAGTATTATTTGTATCCATGGATAAAAATTTTGAGGCCTTTAGAAATGGAAACCTCAGGGAGCCCAGTGCGCTCGGGTGTTTTCAGTGCTTCCAGGCTGTGGGTGGGATTCTTTACCTGTGGGGACACTTCAGCTTCTACTCAGAAGAGAAGGCCCAAGTCTAATTACTTATTAGTTCAACTGTTCAAATTTGAGGACTTATTAAATATTTAGTACCACCCAGGTCTTAACAGTATAAAAATCTCTTGGCTTTGTTTCACTATAATCTGTCTGTACCGTTTTTTTACAAGAATAAAAACTTCGATTTTATCCTTGTTTCAAAGCATAGGAAAGTTTTTGTTTCGTTTTTATTGAACCACCTTAATCCTTTTTTAACAGTTTCCATTTCCTCCTACTTTTTCTCTTCCCTTCTTTCCTGCAGTTTTAATATGTACAGTATTTTTTATCTTTACCTCTTTTGTCACTCTGTATCTCACTGTTGATGAACCAAGACGTTAAGAGAGAAGTAAATGGTATAAAAATTCTAGATATTTACATATCATAAAATAAAAGTAATAGTGTTACTTGTCACAGGTACCCCGAAAAAATTCAAGCCTCCCTCCATCGAGCTCACTGCTTCCTCCCGGCTGGGATTGTGGCCGTGCTAAAGCAGCGCCCCCGACTGGTGGCCGCAGGAGTCCAGGCCTTTTACCTGCGGGACCCCATTGACCTACGAGCCTGTCGTATTTTCAAGACGTTCTTGCCTGAAACTCGAATAATGACATCGGTAAGATATCACTCTTGGTCATTTTGTTTGTCTCACTGGAGAGTTGAATGTTATTTTAATTCTTCACTTGAAAAAATTGGGAACATTCTCTTTCCTCATTGCAAGCTAATACACTTTTTTCCCTCCCATCCAGTGAGAATGATTTCTGCCTATTTTATATCTCAATGTTTCCTACTTATTTCTCACCATGTTTTCTTAACTTAAAACATTTCATTTCATTTCTTTTAGAAAATTAAGAATTATTTTTTAGCCCTGGCCAATGTGGCCCAGTTGGTTGGGGCGTCGTCCATACACCAAAGGTGGCAGGTTCAAAATCCCAGTCAGGGCACATACCTAGGTTGCAGGTTCGATCCCCAGTCAGGGCACATACAGGAGGCAACTGATTGATGTTTCTCACATCAATGTCTCTCTCTTTCTAAAAATATCGTTTAAAAAAAAGGAATTATTTTTATTTTCTACCCATCAAGTTGCCAAATAATATAACTAATAATAATAAGAATTCCATTTAGTAATAACTAAAAAGTAGACAGTGAAGGAAAATTTTATGGTATGTGAATTATCTCTCAATAAAGCTGCTCTTAAGAAATATTGAAAGCGAATAGATTGGATCTTTGCATTTCATATGAATATGAAATGAATACAATAAATGAAGTTATTGTATTAACTATGAAATGACATTCAAATTTTTGATTTTAAGGAAATTATCATGTATTTTGTGTTCCAATGTCCAGGTCACCTTCACTAAATGTCTGTATGCCCAGTTGATGCAACAACGGTTTATGCCCGACCGGCGGAGTGGATACACACTGCCTCCTCCATCTCACCCCCACTACCGAGCCCATGAGTTGGGCATGAAGTTGGTAAAGTTGAACCAGACAATTTTATTTTCTTCCTACATATATAAGGGCTCTTAAGAGAACAATAGCACCTCATAAAAAGTCTAGAAATGTACCCTATTTATGCGAAAATATAGTAAAATGTGGCATTTCAAATAAGGAAAAGTGGATTATTTGGTAAATGATAATAGGACAACTCTGGAGCCATCTGAATATTAAAGTTGATTCACTCACACCTATACCAAAGTAAATTACAGTTGGAACAAATATTTAAGTGAAAAAATTGAAACCATAAAATTTGAAATGTTGATAATCTGAGTAGGAAAGCCCTTTCTGATTTCTTTGAAACCAGAAGCTAGAAAAGATTGCTATGTTTGATCATGTGAAGATTAAACATTTCTGTGTGGGAAAGAAAACCCCCATAAATAAAGTCAAAAGAAAGTAAACATGGAGAAAATACTGTATTTTCAATTTAAATGACAAAGCTGATTCCTCTAATATATAGAGTTCCTGTAAGTTAATATGAAAAAAAATACCAATCAGTTAATAAAAAATGTTCAAAAACATAAAAAGATAGTCCGGAGGAAAGGAAATACACAGTTTTTAATCTAAACATATGAAATATGTTGACCCTTGCTCATATAATAAATAAATGCAATTTAAAGCTACAGAATAGTATTTTCACCATTTGATTGGCAGGTATCAAAAAGTTTGATGATATATACTGGATTGGTGAAAATATATAAAGAAATAGTACTATCAAACATTATTGATGGGAATATAAATTGATTCAGTGTCTTAGAACAGTATGTTAGTATCCATCAACACTGAAAATGCACAAACCCTTCTGCTCAGCATCTTCACTTCTAGAAATTTATCCCCCATATATTTTACATGTGCACAAAGACATCTGAGGATACTCATGACAGCACTGTTTACAGTAGCAAAAGATTGAGAACTACCTAAATGTCTGTTGGTAGGGAAATAGATACATTATAGTCTGCCTGTGAAGTGAGGTGGATAAATTGATGTGTGCTCATACAAAAGGATCTCCAAAGCATATGATGACTAAGTGAAAATGCAAGGTCTAGAGCGGTGTGTATGTCCCCATTGAGTGACAAAAGGGGTGCAGTAGGAGGACATGCATACCCAGACACACACTGTTGGCTGGAGTGCATAGATTGCTTCTGAAGTGACGTGCAAGAAACTGATAACATTAGTTTCCTCTGCAGTGATTGGGGAAGTTCCCTGTTTGAATTATTTTGCTGTGTGCATTTATAATATTTTTTAATGAAAGGACTCAAAATGAAGTGACTTTCTCACTTTACTATGTCTGAGACCATGCTAATTCATTTCTAATTTCTGTTAGACAAGAAGCCTGCAAGCCTTTTTTAAGAAAACAAGAAATAAGTTTAAATTCTAGTTTAATAATCAGCAAGAAAAGGAATCTCTTTGAAGAGAACAAGAATCCTTATTTTGTACTATTTGCTTTCCCTTTATAATTTTTAGTAATCTACCAAGATTGAGAGATTTGAATAAAGTCAGATTTTTCATAAAATTCAAAAAGTGTTACAAACATCCACGTGTCTGTGTGTCCAGTCACCTAATTCTTGAGCGTGGCTAAATGGAAAATAACCTAATAATGCAAATATAATCTGTTTACTGTAGGCTCATGGATTTGAGATCCTGTGCTCCAAATGTAGCCCACATTTTTCTGATTCCAAGAAATCCCCTGTGACTACCTCACCGCTCTGGACTGGCTTCCTTGACAGTCTGAAAAAGAATGATTACTTTAAGGTAGGACTTGCAATGCATTTTTTAAAATATATCTTTATTGATTTCAGAGAGAGGAAGGGAGAGGGGGAGAGAGAGAGAGAGAAACATCAATGATGAGAGTCACTGATCAACTGCCTTCTGAACGCCCCCAGTGGGATCAAGCCCGCAACCCGGGCATGTGCCCTCACCGAGAATTGAATGGTGATCTCCTGGGTCATAGGTCGATGCTTAACTGCTGAGCTATGCTGGCCAGGCAATCAATTATTTCTTAATAATTAATTAAATAATAGAAAATGGTAGAAAACCTTCCAGATTGGAAAGAGGCCCTTAATGGTGAAAAGGATTAGGAACCACTGCATCTAACCTAGTCCCCTTATTTGAAGAAAGCAGAGCCCAAACAAAGTATGTTAATGACAAGACAGGCACTAGGACTCAGACCTCGTGAAACCATGTATCATGCACAGCCTCCCTGAAAGTTGCTGGTAAGCAGATCATTTTAATGACACCATGTAAATAATGTTCTGATGGGCCATTATTATTTTTTTAGGGACTGATAGAAGGTTCTGCGCAGTACCAGGAAAGACTAGAAATGGCAAAGAACTACTTCCAACTGTCAGTAAACCGGCCAGAAAGGTGAGTGTATCACTACTCAATCATGGGCAGAGGGGTAACTACCAGAAGTCAAGGGGTTACTTACTCTTAGGGATAGTTGCAGAAGTTGGAGTTTACGTGTTTAAATGGTTAATGACGCCCTAGCAGGTTTGGCTTAGTGTTTAGAGTGTTGGCCTGCAGACTGAAGGGCCCCGGGTTTAATTCCTCGGTTACAGGCTTGATCCCCTAGCCCCGGGTCGCTGCATGTGCAGGAGGCAACCAATCAATGTATCTCTCTCATGTTGATATTTCTCTCTCTCTCTCTCTCTCTCTCTCTCTCTCTCTCTCTCTCCTTCCACTCTCCCACTCTCTGAAAAGCAATGGAAAAAATATCCTCTGGTGAGGATTTAAAAAAAAAGATAACAACTAAAAGAAAAAGAAAAAATAAACAGTTATTGGCAAGGATCATGATTACTGAAGGGGTTTGGGTTGGGGGAGAGGAGGTGTTGTGCAGACTATCCCTGGCACTGGTTGCTGTTATCAGCATCATCGCATAATAGCTAACATGTATTGAGTACTTACAAAGTGTAGTTTAATTCCCCCTTACAACCCTATGAAATAAATATAATTGTTATTGTTCTGTATTTATAGCTGAGAAGCTGAGGCCAAGAGAGGTTAGATAATTTGCCAAAGGTCACAGAGCTAATACGTGACAGATCCAGGATTCACACTCAGGCAGTCTGGTATCGAGCCACGTGCTTAATTCCTATGGGATTTCTGGGCTGTGTTTAACTATTTTAAGGGGGTCTAAAACACAAGACGAAGCAGGCATATTTTTACTATTGGCAAAAAATTGCAAGTAGCTTAAATGTCTAAAATATTTAATTAGACAGGAGAGACCTTTATTCCCTAAACCAGGATAATTTCTAAACAGTTTAAAACCAAATTCGCATCTCCCTCCAGACCTATTCTTGAATTTCCAATTTTTTAAATAGCTGAATTAATATCATAGACTATGTCCCACTGTCTTTTAATAGTAGCCCCCATCCTCCTATCACCCAGACCTCTGGGCTGTCCTTGGATCTGAGTCCCTAGGTCTTGTTTATTATCTGTGTCTTGCATCCTTTCTTACTGCCCAGCTACTCTAATTACTCATTTCTTGAGCTGTGGTAGTACCTACTTGTTTTCAACTTCTAGTCACTCTTCTCTTCCTATTCAACTATTAGAGCCAGGAGAATCTGTTTGAAATAAACCTTTAGTCATGTCACTCTCCTCTCCTAAAAAGTATTTGAGGTTGTGATAATGAAAAGCTACACACAGTCTAAGTGTCTATCAGTGGTAGATACATGAATTACAGTGTTTTTATGCGATGGACTAACTGCCATTAGTTTTTTAGAAATTAGCTAAATATACATAAATCTAACCCAGGATTTCACAATCTCAGCACTATTTACATTTTGGACCAGATAATTCATTGTGGGTGACTCTGTGCGTTGTAGGATGTTTGGCAGCATCCCTGGCCTCTACTCAGTAAATGCCATTAGGATTCCCTCCACTCGCAGTCGTGACAACCAAAAGTGTCATCACACATTGTCAAATGTCCCCTGGGGGACAAAATTATCCCCAGTTGAAAAACACATCTATATTCATTTATTCAACAAATAAATTTGGGTGTCTCCTATATGCCAGGCCGTATTCCAGACATTGGGGATCCAAGTAAATCCAAAGTCTGCCTGCCGTTATAGAACTTGCATACTAGTGTAGGAGAAAGACAATAAACCACTATATGATATTAGATGGTGATAAGTGCTTTGAAGAAAAGGCTGTGTATGGGAGAGAGAGGTAGGCTGCTACTTTAGCTAGGTTGGTTAAGGAGCCCTTCCAATGAGAAGAGACCTGTATGAAGTGAAGGAATGAGTATATAAGTATTCGTGGAAATAATCCTGGTAAAGAGAACAAACAGCAAATACAACATAGAAACACATACACACACACACACACTGTCCCAGAAACACACACACACACACACACTCTCTCTCTCTCTCTCTCTCTCTCTCTCTGTGTCCCAGAATGATACTTATTTCCATTGTTTTTCAGAGGGAATGGAAGGGGGGCAGGAGGGGAGGGAGGGAGGGGAACTTCAATGTGAGAGAGACACATCAATTGGTTGCCTGCCACATGCGCCGCGAGGCCAGGGATCAAACCAGCAACCAAGCTACTTGCCCTTGGCTGGAATCGAATCCGGGACCCTTTGGTCCAGGGACTGATGTTCTAACCACTGAGCAAAACTGGCCATGGCTATAATGTTTTTTAAAACATACATATAGCCCAGCCGGCATGGCTCAGCGGTTGAGCATCAACCTATGAACCCGGAGATAGAGGTTCAATTCCCAGTGAGGGCACACATCTGGGTGGTGGGCTCAATCCCTCCTGGGGAACGTGCAGAAGGCAGCAGATCAGTGATTCTCTCTCATCATTGATGTTTCTGTCTCTCTCTCCCTCTCCCTTCCTGTCTCTCCAAAAATTAATAAAAACATATTTTAAAAAAATAAAGTACATATACATGTTATTAGTTTGTTTTTTATGTTAAATGCATAAATGTAGCCATGTAATTAGACTAGAAGTAAGTATAACAATATTATAATTCTGGATGGTACAAATATGGACATTTGTTATATTATCTTTTGTACTAGTCTGTATTGTTCAAATCTCTTAAACTAAAATTAAAGATAGCAAAGGAATCATCATTGATCACCCACTGCTTATTTCATTAAGCCCAAACTTCTTAGCCATTTTAAACTCACTGTGCTCTCATCCTAGTCTATCCACCTGTTCAGCCTCACCTTCCACACTTAAGCCAAACTAAATGCCACTTGCTCTCTGAACATGTTCTTCATGTCTCTGCCTCTATACAAATGTTCATTTTTAAGGACTTACTCAACTACTTCCATTCTCTTTCTCACTTTTTTTTTTAGCTTCTCTGCCTTCATCTCAGTGAATGTAATTACCTTCTCTTTTGGTTCTCCCTAGCATTTGGTATTCTTGTTTGATTTTATATTTTATAATTTATTGCGATTATTTGTATATATTTTTATCTCCTAGTAATATTTACATAATATGGAGTAGGGACAATATTTTTATCACCCACATGATTTAGCAAGGCATGCAAATATTTATCAAATGAACACAAGTTCATTATATAACTTGATTTGCTCCTTTCTGAATAGTTCAGACAAGGTTCCATCAATTTATATAACAAGTCACATCACCGTCATAAAATAACTCTCTCATGTAAATAATCTCGGTACAATTTCCTCATCAGTTTATAGTAGGAGGAGCACAAAATAGTATCAGAAAACTTGATTTCAAGCCTTTGCTCTGTCCACTTAAATGACCTTGCAAAAGTTGTAGAAGTTCACTGGGCTCTGGTTTTCTCATCTTTAAAGCAGGATAGTAATTACTGGACTAAATAAGAAAATGTATTTTAAATGTTAGTCTAGCATATAATACATGTTAGATTATTTTTTGTTCATACTTCCCTCTGGGTTTTCTTTTCCTCATATATAATATAGATACAAATTGAAAAAGTTGTGCCAGATCAGCAGCTTCATAATGATCTTCCATGGAGCTAGCTACAGAGTCAGAGGGGAAGGTAGAATAAGTAGGTCTCTGAGCCTCCATTTCAGGTCTCCAGCCTCCATTTCAATCAAAGCAAGGTTTTTTTTCAGTTTTATTGAAATATAATTGACAAAAAAACATAAGATCTTTGCCCAGCCGGTGTGGTTCAGTGGTTGAGTGTTGACCCATGAACCAGTAGGTCGCGATTCAATTCCCAGTCCTGGTTCATGGGTCGATGCTCAACCACTGAGCCACACCGGCTGGACAATAAAAACATTTTTTAAAAATTATAAGATCTTTAAAGCATGCATTGTGGTGACTTAATATATGTACACATTATTAAAGGATTCTCCTAACTAGTTAATACATCCATCACCTCATTTATTTGGTGAGAAAATTTACGTTATACCATCTTAGCTGATTTCAATTACATAATATGGTGCTATCGGCTGTAGTCATGTTTTACATTAGATCCTCAGACTATATTTATCTTCTAGCTGAAAGAGTTTACCCTTTTACCAACTGCTCCCTGTTTGTCTCACCTCCTAGTCCAGGCATCCACTTTTCTGTTCTGTGTTTCAATGAGTTGGACACTTTTTTTAGATTCTGCGTATAAGTGATACCATGTAGTATTTGTCTTTGTCTGGTTTATTCCATTTAACATAATGCCCTGAAGTTCCATCTTGTTGTCGCTAATGGCAGGATTTCCTTCCCTCTTGTGGCTGAGTAATATTTCCTGTGTAATATACCACATCTTTATTCATTCATCTGTTGAACATTTAGGTTGTTTCTATATCTTAGCTATTATGAATAATGCAGCAATGAGTCCGGCTGGGCGTGGCTCAGCGGTTGAGTATCGATCTAGGATCCAGGGGATCAGGGTTCGATTCCAGGTCAGGGCACATGCCCGGGTTGCGGGCTCGATCCCCAGTCGGGGGCGTGCAGGAGGCAGCTGATCAATGACTCTCTTATCATTGATGTTTCTATCTCTCTCTCTCCCTCTCCTTTCCTCTCTCTGAAATCAATAAAGATATATTTAAAAAATTTTAAAAAATAATGCAGCAATGAACATGGGAGTGCAGATATATCTATATATCTTCAGTATTTTATTTTCATTTCCTTTGGATAAATTCCCAGAAATGGAATTGCTGGTTCATATGGGAGCTCTGTTTTTAATTTTTGAGGAACCTTCATACTGTTTTGTAGTGACTGTACCAATTTACATTCCCACCAGCTGTGCACACACACGTTCCATCTTCTCCACATCCTTGCCAACACTTGTTATTTCTTGTCTTTTTGATAATAGCTATTCTAACAGGTGTGAGGTAATATCTCCTCGTGGTTTTGATATCCATTTCTCTGATGTTTAATGATGTTGAACACCTTTTCATGTACCTGTTGGCCATCTGTATATCTTCTTTGGAAAAACATCTGTTCAGTTCCTCTGCCCATTAAAAAAAAAAAATTAATTGAATTTATTGGAGTGACATTGGTTAATAAAATTATATAGGTTTCATGTGTACAACTCTATAATACATCATCTGTATATTGAATTGTGTGTTCACTGCACCAAGTCAAGTCTCCTTCCATCACTGTTTATCTCCCTATACCCTCTTCTGCCTTCCCCCACCACCCTTCCCATATGGTAATCGCCATACTGTTGTCTGTGTCTATGAGTTGTTTTGTTGTATGTTTTTTTGTTTTGTTTTTTGCTTAATGCCTTCACCTTTTTCACCCATGCTGTTTAGAGTATTTGTTCTAGTTCTGTGAAATACATTATTGGTAACTTGCTAGGAATTGTGTTGAATCTGTAGATTGGCTTGGGTAATATGAACATTTTAACGATGTTAATTCTTCCTATCCATGAACATGGAATATGCTTCCACTTATTTGTCTCTTCTTTAGTTTCTTTATTCTGTGTCCTTATAATTTCCCAATACAGGTCTTTTACATTCCTGGTTAAAGTTATTCCTAGGTATTTATTTATTTTCTTTCTTTTTTTCTTTCTCTCTCTTTCTTTCTTTCTTTCTTTCTTTCTTTCTTTCTTTCTTTCTTTCTTTCTTTTCTTTTCTTTTCTTTTCTTTTCTTTTCTTTTCTTTTCTTTTCTTTTCTTCTTTCTTTCTTCTTTATGCAATTGTAAATAGGATTGTTTTCTTAGTTTCCCTTTCTGATAGTTCATTATTGGTGTATAAAAATGCAACTGATTTCTAGATACTTTTTTTGTATCCTGCTACTTTACTGAATTCACTGATCAGTTCTGGTAGTTTTTTGGTGGAATCTTTAGAGTTCTCTATAATCGTGTCATCTGCAAATAATGACAGTTTTATTTCTTTCCACCTTTGCCCTTTTTAAAAATTGTATTGTTTAGCTTTTTTGCTTTTGAGTCGTATGAGTTCTGTATATATTTTGGATGTTAACCCCTTATCAGATATATGGTTAACGGGTTGCCTTTTCACTTTGTTGATGGTTTTCTTTGAGCTTTTTTATATTTTAGAGTTCCTGGTAAATTTTGAGGAAAAGGGGTCTGTATCCTAAAACAAATATTTTAAAAGCAAATTAGACTGGATAATTCCTTTCATCTTTAAAATACTATATTTTTGTGATTATTCTGAGTGCTCTTATAAAAAAAAAAAAATTTGTCTTTTTTTTTTTTTTATAGCTCTCTTGCTATGAGCCCAGGTGAAGAAATTTTAACCTTATTACAGACATTACCATTTGATATCGAAGAGCTTAAGAAAGAAGAAGCTAATCTTCCCCCAGAAGATGGTAAGTGATGGGCCAGGATAGAGCAGATGGGTTAGAAAAAATGAAAACATTCTACTAAGTCTCATAGGGCCCTTCCCCGAGAGTACCTTTCACGTGAATGTAGTATGGCAGTATCATGCTTTCTCTTTTTTCAGATGACCAGTGGTTGGATCTCTCACCAGATCAGTTAGACCAGCTACTGCAGGAAGCTGCTGGCAAAAAAGAACCAGAGCCCATTTCCAAGGAGGAGGAGAACTACGACTTAACTCAAGTCTCAGAGAGCATGAAAGCCTTCATGTCCAAAGTCTCCACCCACAAAGGAGCAGAGCTGCCTCGGTGATTTGTGTTAAAGTATAAGTATCTAAATAGTTATAACCAAGATTTTGAAGTCATCCATCACTGCCAAGTCCACACTTTTTTTTTTTAAGTAAATGACTTGTACTGCTTTGTTTCCCTGTTCTGGTACCTAGTACCATGATAACTTACTTATCTGGAGTCAGATTTCTAGTAATCTTATCCTTTGCCATCCTTGAAGTAAGCTAGAGAGTCCACTCAACAGATCTAAATGCCATCTCAGAGCCATTCAGGGCAACCACACACTTTACTCTCGACTTTTACTCAGAACCTGACAGGCTCTTAACATCTAGCTCTCAGCAAGCTCAGACTTCTGATCTTCCTCCTGCAAGCATATTGGAAGCTTCAAACTCAAAAGAGTGGGTTAAAAGGGTTCATCAGAGGAAGAAATAATAGAAGAAATGGGAAGTTACATTTGGCAAGTAATGGAAAAAAGGCAGATGAATTGTTGCTTGCACAGCAAATGTATCTTTATTAGTGTTGGTGCTCAGAGCTCCTGAGATGATTAAAATTGATGTTCGATGTTCTCTAAGAAAGCAGGGATAAGGGAAGGTTTGTTCTTAATAAGATTTGATTCTTAAAGATGAATAACTTTTTTTTGCTAATGTTAGCTATATCTTATGGGAAGCAAAGGGTGGGTAGATCCCTAAATGAACTTGAGTTAAATGTGCATAACCAAAGTGCAATTTTTACTTTGATTTTATCAGTCTTTCCCATTTCTGTTGCCTGTAGGACCAGTAAGTATAAGGATTTTTTTTATTTGAACTACAGTTTTCCTTGTTACACCTCTCTTGAGGTTGTATCTCTGGGACTGTTCCTAAGAATGGCACTACTTTAGATAAAGTTTAGAGTTACATTCTGATCAATTGTTTTTTCCTTTAATCTTACAGAGAACCTTCTGAGGCTCCAATCACTTTTGATGCGGATTCTTTTTTAAATTATTTTGATAAGATTTTAGGTAAGTTACAGTGTGATGTTTCATTTTGAAACTGTAAGTAGTACGGGTGGGACAGTGGAGCATTGGATCTCTCAGAAGACAAAACAATGCTTTATCTTCATAATCTTGAGTTGCTTTCAACCATGAATTCCTGCTATCTTTATGATTCTGCAGAGGATGCTTAGCTCAGTGCTTAACATAGTAGTTGCTCATTAAATATTTGTTGAATGAGTGAATGCTGTGTGTTTAGATAGAGTTTACCTTGGCTCCCATATTACATTATTTTTTTCTCTTTTATACTTAATGCACTTACACACTAATAATAAGACAAATAGCCCAATAAAAAAATTACAGGATATAAAAAGGCATAGCCTTGAAGAAGAAATACAAATAAATATTTGAAAAATTAACTTTTCTAGTAAGCAAGTAAATACACAGTAAAAATAAGAACTTACTTTTTTTGCCTATCTTATTGGCAAAAATTTAAAAGAATGATGATAACCAGTCTTTCAGGGGTTGGAGAAAGGAGCACTGTTCAAACTGTGGGGGTAGAAGTCTAAATCATCTTTTCTCAGGGCAGCATGGTACTCTAGAATGTTTATAACCTTTCAATTTCACTTCTAGGAATTTACCCTGTGAAAAGATATATGTGCTAAAGTGGTGATTGCAGCAGTGTAGTAGCAAAAAATTAGATTATCCTAAATGTCTATCAAGAGGGAAATGGTTAAATAAATCATAGTACAGTTGACCCTTAAATAACATGGGATTGAACTGTGTGGGTCCACTTACACGTAAATGCTATAAATGAATTTTCTCTGCCTTATGATTTTAATAACATTTTCTTTTCTCTAGCTTACTTGATTGTAAGAATACAGTATATAATACATTTAACATACAGAATATGTGTTAATCAACTGTGTATGTTATCAGTAAGGCTTCTTCTCGTCAACAGTAGGCAGTTGGTAAGGTTCTGGGGAGTCAAAAGTTATTTGCATTGTTCAGGGGTCAAATGTATACTTAATAAAGAATGAGGTTCACTTATATGTGGAATATAATAAAAACAAAATAAACTGATGAACAAAGTGGATCCAGAGACATAGAAGCATGAACAGAGGGATCTCAGGGAAGGCGGGGAGGGGGATGTGGGTGGGGAGAGATTAATCAGGGAATTTGTATGTTTATGGGCATAGCCCATGGACACAGACATTGGTGTGGGGAGGGCCTTGGAGTGGGATGGATGTGGGGTGGAGGGGATCAGTGGGGTTAAAAAGGGGACATCTGTAATATAAAAATAAAATAAAATAATGAGGTTCATTGGTATGTTTTGACAGAGGACCTCCAAGATGTATAAATAAGTGGAAAAGCAAACCATAGTTCAATGTATATATTTGTGGGGCAAAATACAACTCTCTCTATACACACACACACAGAGCTGCATAAATAAAGGTCTGGATACCCACCAAACTGTTAAAAGATGTCTAACTTTGGGAAGAGAATGAAGGATAAGACAGTAATTCTGAATGGCTTGAATGTTTACATCAAAATGTATTCATACATAATGTAGTTTTTAAATTTTTTAAGTGAAAATTGGTAATTAATTGAATTCACTTTTTTTAAAAAGCGGAATCTTTCAGTTCAGCCTGTGTACTTTTCTGCAAATTTCTGCCAGCAGTACCATTTTCTGGAAGTGATTTTTGTGAAGAACTTTGCCTGTGTATATTGGTTCTTTTCTGCAAATAATATTCCACGTCTTTTGAGAGGTGTAATCACACAAAAACATTTTTACCAAGTGGCATTTTCTGTGTTGGGGTGTAGGGCCAAGACCTCATGAGTCGGACTCTGATGATGAAGATAAGGAAGACTTTGAATGTTTAGATAGTGATGATGACTTGGATTCTGAAACAGAGGAGCCCGGGGAAGAAGCATCTATAAAAGGAACACTTGGTGATCTCAAGTCATACATGGCTCAGATGGACCGGGAACTGGCACATACCAGCATTGGCAAAAGTTTTGCCACCCAGAAGCAAATGGTATATGTGTGTTTAACTTCTTTCCCTTTCTGAGTCTATCACAAAGGATAGCTAAAACCATATTTTATCTTAGTGGGTTTTGGGTTTTTTTGATTTGTGATCATTTTTTTGTGATAAATTTTTTTATTTGAAATAAAGAAGAGTACTAATTTTTCCTAACTCTGGTAAGATGAAGAATTATTAATTTTATTTTCCTAAAATAAGCTTAATTATATTATTTATTCTGTGTTATCTATTAGGATTTAAAATAAAGTCATATGATGTGTTGAAATTAGTATGTGGTACTACTACTAACAGCTTAAATTGATTTTTTTTAAAAGGAGAAATGACCTTAAACATCCAAATATTTTTCAAATCTTAATAGTGTTTGATTTGTAAGTTTCCCTAATTTAAAGCCAAATTTATAATTCATCTTCCATTCATGTTTTAATACTAGTTTTTATACCAACAGTGTCTAACACTTGACAAAGTAGGGAAATAGAAGGGACCCTGGAGTCTCATGGATGAGGGTTTGAAATCCATCTCTGCCGTCCACTGTGACTGTATCCATTAATCAGTAATCCTCATGTCATAGAATTAACATGAGAACCAAGTGAAACAACAGTAAAACCCATATTGGCTCTTAATTAATGTTATTCCCTTGCTTTGATCATCTAAACCACATTTAAAATTATAGCCACTTCCAGTATTGCCAAAACCTAATAGAAATCATACATTAGATTTATCTAAAGTGGTGTTTCTTAAATTTTAATGTGAATATGAACCACCTAAAGATATTAAAATGTAGATTCTGGTTAAGTTTGTCTTGGGTGTGGCCTGAGATTTTACATTTCTAACAAGCTCCCAAGCAGTACACATGCTGCTGGTCCATGGATCAGGTTGCATCTTTCAAATTCTTCCCCCAACCTGTGAAATCAGAGGCTCAAGTCGCAATTCAGTCTTTGTGGTTCAACCCCCAAAAGCTTCAGGTTTTTACTTTAAGTTTTTTCACTGGGGGAGGTGAGGGAGAAAATCTAATTTCTTTTACTTAGAAACAAATTTTAGATTTTTTTTTTTTTTTTTAAAATGTTAATTTTTGTGTTTATTTTTTGAAAACTCTTAGGCATGGTATAAATGTACCTCTTTAACCCTGGTTTTCTCCTTTGGGCTATTTCAGGACAGGGAAGAAATTTGTTCAATTTGTAGAAACTTTTCCTAGAAAGAAGTGTGTTATAATCTTTGGAACCAAATTTTAGTATGTGTTAAATTACATAGTTTATCAGACTTTGTTTTTGCTTTCTATCAAGGATAATTTGGAATTCCATTTTACGTTGTTGGTTGGCTTTGCATGGTAACTACCATCAACCTATCTGCATATTATCCTGTGATTTTCTTTTCCCTCCCTGAATAAGGAATCTCTATCGCAGACTACCAGTAACAATTCAGATGAGGAAGATTCTGGTGCAGGAGGATCTGTTATGACACCAGTGGATGTAGACCTGAACCTGGTTACAAATATTTTGGAATCGTATAGTTCCCAAGCTGGACTGGCGGGACCTGCTTCCAACCTCTTACAAAGCATGGGAGTGCAGCTGCCTGACAACACTGATCACAGACCCACAAGTAAGCCACCCAAAGATTAACCAGCAAACCTCGCCTACCTTTTTCCTTTTTAAATAAATATTGAATATGAGTGTGCTCATTTCTACTTTAGAGGACTCATTTAGTAAAAAATGTTTGTTCATTACAAGTTGCACAGGTTGACTCTCCTCAAATGTCACCCTCTCTGCTAGGGTCTTTGTCATCTCCAAGGGGTATGCATAGGTTTTGAAGTTAGCAGAAGAGTCAGGCCCCTGAGATGAGAGTTACATACTCTGTGTTTAGACTATTGCTTATTTTTATCAAGGATTAAGTGTTGGGTAGAGAAAGGAAGGTAGTCAAAAATAAGGAAAGGAGTATCTTTTTTATTTCAGTTACCATGAGTGATCTTGAGCCACGCTCACTCTGGTGACAAATATTTTAATGTTCTACTTGTTCTTACTATTCTACTTCATAGACCCCGTGGGTTCTTTTTATCCTTAGCACCTTCACAATTAATTGCCACATAAGTATTTTCCAGCCAGGTCAGCCTTGTACCAAAGTTCCTTTTATCTGTCATGTTCAGTATCCTAACCTTGTCCTCTTTTGCCTCGGCTTTCAGATATCCTTGGAGTTCTAAAAAGCAAAGCTCTCTTCCCACTCATTGCTGGGAAACAAAGTTCAATGTTGCAGCTTCTCCTATTAGCCACTCTCTTCTTTTCCAAAACAACACATTAATCCAAAAGCAAACAGTTACTCCATGGTAAATTTGAGAAACACACACTCTCCCCTTTCTATCCCGTATTTTCAGACTGGGGATGTGTACACATGTGCTCACAAACACACCCACATAGAGATAGAAAAGATTGGGAGACAGTAATACACATGGACCCTGAACTGTTTTCTTCTAACTGCAATATATGAGGAAATCTCAGGACCTCTCTTTCGAGAGTGCTTTTCCCTTCTACATGCCGGGTTCAGCTCAGGTCAGAGCAAGCTGCCAATCTAACAGGACAGTCATGTCCCATCACCTTTTATCCCTCAACATTTCCTGATGAAGGCACTTTGATTTCCCACAGCAATGATGGTTTGCTGGCAGTGGTGACAGCAATGACCTTTTGGTTTCAAAAGGAAATTTATTGCTGCAACTTTTCTAGTTCTAGAATGTCTTTTTCTTAGTCCTAGGGAACTTTGATGTATGCATAATCTTAGCGTTTCTGGCACTCACGTATTTAATCAATGACTCTTTCCCCAGCCATTCATTCCTCTTTTCAAACTGGCCTCCAACAGTATTTCTTCTGCACATTGCTTCAGTTATTCAACAGACTTGGAACCTGGACTTAAACATCTGTTACACTAATAAAGGGATTCCTTTCCTCCCCTCCTCTTTCCCCTGCAAATTCTCACTTCTGCAATTTCCTCACTTCATAGGACAGAAAAACACATCTGAGCAAAGGTGTGGAAATTTATTTTATTTCCTCCAGATAAATTCTTTTTCCCTGTGACAAAAGCTATAAAATGACATCTATGAATGATGGGAAATCCTAAATTTAGTTTATCCCATAGAACTCAAGAAGTGGTTTGTCCTCAGTAATCCCTTAGTTGAAGTTACAACACTTACTGGATGTGCACGTGGCAGCAACCATTTTACATTTAGGAAAACAGGAATGGCAAAGTGACCATCATTTCTGGGTCAAACACTGATCAAGTAACAGCAAAAAAGACGAACCATCTTGAGCCACTGGGCTGCAGTCACCTCCATAGAACCTCATTGCACCTGACATCACAGAGGACCCTGGGAAGACCTTAGCTCCCACATTCCTCATCCCTTGAGATGACTTAAGGAGATATGACTTCTATTTAACTACCATGTACAGAATCATTACCTGTACATGAATTCAACATGTTATGTTGTGCTATCTGTCTTAATTCTGTGAGGGTAAAAAGTAACTCAGTGGTTTGAGATTTGCTATATAGATTTTCAATACTAAGATAGAAATTTTAACCAAAATTACACCAGGCACATTTTGGCAGTGAGGTATAAACCGAGCATTAACAAGCTACATGCCAAAAGATATTTCCTCCCAGGGTCTCGGAGAAAATGGGTAAACAAGGGCCCACATCTAAAGCAAATCTTGAGCCCTCCCTCTGATTTCTGCTTGCTCGGGCATTTCTGAGTGCCTATGAGTAGGAACGTCTTTCAGTAACGCTGTCGGAAGAGGTGTCTTGCTGTAGGCTCACCTTCTTCTCAGCCTTAATACAAGGTTGGCTGGGTAGGGCCTTTTTTCACCTCACCCTTTTCAACTGATCTTTGATAACCCCCTTGCCGTCCCTGGGATGGAGGTGGCTGATCTGAGCTAAGCAGGCAGGGAAGAACAGGTCGGGTTTTCTACCCACTCCTTAATCAGTTGGTGGGCGATGGCTAACTTAGGGGGCAACCAGAAGGAGGAAGTCCCGTTCTGTTGCTGAGCATATGGGTGGTTTCTCTTCAGGGCTGTGACGACCTCATCATGACTAAACCAGGCAGCTGCTTCTAGTTCTCTCAAGTTCACCTGGATCTGAAACACATAAGGAAAAACAGAATGTAAGATTAGGAGCTACAGAATTTAGAATACTATGGCCAAAGGTGAGAAAACAGTTCCAGAACTCAACAATCTTAGAAGATAATGCCTGGGGTCCACAGCTGGGAGAGAATCAATTCTAGGCACTGCCCAGAAGCAAAAGAGGCATAATTAAGAGATGAGCTTTAAATATATTTTTTAATAGTAAAAAAACCCCACCAAAACATTTAAAAAGGTGTTTAACATAGAGGGGTAAATTATGAATAACACTTGTTTTGCTTTGCACCTTTACTGATTGTGTAACATACAAATGTTTTTCTTCTTTAAAAGGTAAAGGTTAATTAATGATCACCAAAATCACAGTATTTTCTTTGCAAGAAGCAAAGTAGTACAAACTGAATCCATAGGAAACTGAGACAGATTAGGTATTAATTCATTCCGTAGAAACCAAAACACAATCGACAGACTTTGGTATTTGGGGACCACAGTGCCACCTGTCGGGTGCTACAGGAGAGCAAGATGAGGCTGGATAAGACAGTATCTAAGTCCCTTTCAACTAGAAGTTCCTATAATCATTATTATGTGACTGATAACAATAATAATGGTTAATAATAATTAGTGCTCAACATCCTGATTGACTTGAGCAATAAGATCAATCTTGAAATCAATCATTAAATTTGGTATTTTATGTGCCTAAACTATGTGAGACACTCTGTTCAGTCCCGAGGGTGAAAGATAAGTTGTCTCATGACTGAGGTGTATACAGGGGATAATGGCAATCGTGCTGGCACCCCCAGTGTTCATGGCGATTACTTTCTTTACAAAGATTGGAAGTTACTTCAGCATGTAAATCATATCTTACAGATCTCTGTACAATCTAGGCAGTGTTGGACTAGACAGATGCTTAGTAAGTACCTACTGACAGGCTTGGATGAGGCAAAGGAAATATCACAGCATCAGAACTTACCTCTGTCTGCCCTGGTTTCACAGTTGCATGACAGGCAATCATGAGTGAGCTATTAGGAAAGGGCCAGTGTTGGGATGCAGAGTACTGCAGTCTTTCCAACTCCAGTCCCACCTCTTCTGCAACTTCTCGCCGGACAGCCTCTTCCAGACTTTCACCTACAAGCACTCAGATTAATTCAGGACAGCCCTGCAGCAGGAGGGGTGATACAGATGCCCATTTGTGAAAGAGCGCAAAACTGGCTCCAAAGTTTCCATGAAATACTCTTGGGAGAGGCTTACATCTCTGAGTCTCTACAGCAACAGGAATCAAGTCTAGAGCTGGGTTTTGAACTGTAATACTTAAACCTACTAGGTTGGTTATAATACAAAATAAGAGTGGCAGTGGGAGAGGTTATTGCTGCCGCCAGCTTTAATAAAATTCTAATGCTACATTTCACCATTTGCAAATTTTACCCCAATAGACTGAGAAAAAAATCCTGTAAATAAATATTGAATTCTATTGAATATTATGCATGCTGAAATATTTAGGGAGAAGTGTACTAACGTCTGCAGTCTATCCATCAAAAAGTAAGATGGACTGATGGAGAGAGAGGAATGGAGAGATGGACAGGTATGTGATAAAGTAAGTATAAAAAATTATAGAATCTAGGTGGTGAGTGTATGGGTTTTCACTGTATAGTTCTTTCAAACATGCTGCATGTTTGAAAGTTTGTCTGTGAAATATTGGAAAGTTATAATGCCAGAGGACCATTTTCTTGACTTAACAGGAAAGAATGTGCTCGAGGCTCCAAGCACTATGACAGAAAAATAACTACCACTGATAGGCTGTCCTGTCTCCCAGTGTCATCTGTACATGCTCTGAACTCCTTACCTATGTCACAGAAACCAGCCAAGGCAGAATACATTCCCTTGGGGAAGGAACTCTGGCGGGCAAGCAGGCATCGAGTCCCATCTGACACCAGCGTGATCACCACAGGAGCCATCTAGGCAAAGAGGTAGAAACTTAGACACTAGGGCTTTGGAGCCCATAAATAGGATGAAGGGATGAATCACTAAGGAAAGCCTTTTGATTGTACAGGCTTCCATCCCCAGGACAGAGCCGTGTGCAGCCTTCTTGTATTGCTGACCTTCTAAGGCAGTGCTTACCTGTGGATAATAGATGATCTTATTGGAAGGGCACACACGCTTGCTGCCAGCCATGTTCTTCTTGGTGGGCTGCCCACTTCTGCTGCAGAACTGATGCGCATCATGCCAGCGGAGGAGAGCCTGCGCCTAGGAATATGAAGATGGGCTTGGTTTCGTTTGGAGAGAATGTGGGGCTCATCTATAACAGTGCTGGGCCTGGTTTTGAGAGCAATTCAAAGGGAAATGCCAGTGCCTTTCCAGTTCACCTACTTTAAATGGTTATTAACTCTAAAATAAGGGAACTATTGAACATAATTCCTCCAGCCTCTGAAATATGAATAAAAGAAAGTATAACTTAAGTGTATTATGATTTAAAATATATGTAATCTATAAAGTATTATAATGAACACTCCATGTACTTATGACCCAGCTTAAAAATAAATCATTTCCAATATATTTGAACAGCCCACCATGTATTCCTCCCCAGTAAAGTTTAAATGTTTTTGCAAATAAAAAATGTTTAGAGATATCTCTAAATTAAGTGGATAATCAAAAGCACTTCAACAAGTGAAGTGTGGATGAGTCAAAGCAATAAATAATTTCTCATAGGAAAAACATGATGCATGTGACATGCTGTGGGTCATTAAAAATGAGGCTGATAGATGCCATAGATCTGCATGTCCTTAGGGGAATACTGTTCCTGACAGCAATTATGCCAAAAACAAGGGCAAAAGAGAATAAGCAGTCTCCACGCAGCATGCTGTCCCTCTGCCAAGGTTTGAACTACTCTGCAGAAGGAGAAAGCAAATGTGTTCCAGCCTTGTGTTATGCGTGCACGTATTTGCCCTAGTACGCTGCCTTCCTACTCTCCTACAGAACCTACCGTGGATAGCAAGGAGGCGTCCTTCACATGCAGCCGGAAGAAAGCCTTCCTCAGCTCAATGAAAGACCCCTTGAGCTCTGTCTCCATTTCAGGTTTCTCTAAGGAAGCTAGAAAATTAGAAAAGAGAATGAAGTGAAACAAATGTCAAACTGCCTCGGGGCCCCTCAAGTATATCCTGTTAGAACAGTGTTTCCCAAACTCACCTAATAAGACTCAATTAGGGAAAATAAAAAATATACAGGTTCTCAGCCCTGGCCGGATAGCTGACTTGGTTAGAGCATCATCCTGATACACTCAAGGTTGGGGGTTCAACCCCCCGTCAGGGCATGTACAGGGATCAACCAATGAATGCACAAATAAGTGGAACAACAAATCGATGTATCTCTCCATCTAAAATATATATATATATATATACATACAGGTTCTCAAGCCCCTACATGGAGATTCTGAACAGCAGGGGAGCGAAGCCCAGAAATCTTTATTTTTTAACAAGCACCAGGTGATTCTCATTCAGGCAAATTTGGGAAACAGCACAGTGCTATGTCACAAGATTGTCTTCAGGGGCAATAACATCCCTGGGAAAAAGATGAAATGGGACCTCTAAGCTCCTCTCCGAACGTCATTTCAGCATCATTACGTTTGCACCCACCCCCTGAGAGACAGGAGAAAGGCCTGACAGGAGCCATGAGCCCACAGCAAACTGCAGGTCTGAAGACCCAGAGCTCCTTCGAGGTAATATGTTTACTCACTTGCATTGATGAGAGATACAAGGGTGTTATCATGGATTTGAAAACATTCCTTATGAAATACAACAAAATGTATAAAGGTACAGAGAATAATACTGTAAACATCTCTGTACCCACCACCTACCTTAGAAAGAAAGCATTAAAACTCCTTTATTTTAAGTTATGATAGATGGTAGTGGTCTTTTTTATGTCCTAACTTTAAAAAAAAAAGTTGATAGCCTTTCTGCATTCCCCCAATTTTTTATTTTATTTTACTATCATGTGAAATCCCAGTGTCTGAGAACCACAGGGAAGTAGCCATTAGGAACGGTGTTGTGTACCATTTATGGAAGAGGAGCTGTTTAGACCTAGGTCCAGAGCAAACCACGCTTCCTGCCGTTCGGAGCATCCAATCAGCACAGAATCTTCTACTCTTTGTGTATCCTGTCCAAACTTACCCAGGAGCTTTTCCAACTCTAAGAAACAAAAGCAGACGGAAAAACAAGGGCTTTAATGAGATCACCAGAGCCATCTTAAACTTAAAGGAGATCATATACTTCAGCTTGAGGCACCTACACCTGGCTTCCAGTCACTGCCCTGCAGCTAATTAGCTTTGTAAACTTGATCTAATTAATCACTTAACCTCTAAGCCTTCGTTTACTCATCAGCAGTCTGAGAAGTTCAGACTAAAGACGGAATTCTTTCTTTGCATCCCTGTATTACTCTGTGATTGTATCATGAAAGCAGCATATCCCCTAGTTCAAAAGATACATGATAGTTAGCTATGGCACTGAAAAAAAGAAGTGTCACATTTAAAATGGTAGAGACCAAGTCAATTCTATAATTTAGTCTCTAGATTATGCTGCTTTTGTGGGCCAGAGTAGAATATTCATCTGAAATTCCAGTCTGTATAAGACACAGGAGCTGTACAGGGAGAAAACTTACCCTGTGCATGAAAGACTCATTTATTTGTTCATAATACAACAAAACATTGCTACATCTCTAAACGCTTAGTTCCTTCTGATGGCATCCTCGTATCTGCAGTGCTAGAAACTGCCTATCCAGGTACTCCAACATCTGACCCATGAAGGAAATTCACTGGCAATGTCTTTAGAACTTAGGGAATAGTTACATCGTAGAAAACTGAAAGTATCTTGAAAGCCAAATCCCAATAGCTTAGATATCTCTAGCTATGTTAATTAATTCACTTCTAATTTTGACCCTTCTAGGAGAAATGAAGTCTCAATGCAAATCCTGGCAAGTATAACAGTGTTCAACTCCATGGAGGCTGGAAATCACCCGTCTAAGGCAGGGGTTGGCAAAATCTAGGCTTTTGAGCTCTGTCACAACTCCTCTGCTCTACCATTGTAGTGTGAAAGTAGCCATAGACAATCTATAAATGAATAAGTGTGGCTGTGTTCCGATAAAAGCTGATTTATAAAATGTGGGTTCCATTTGAACAGCAGTTTTGCCAACCCCTGGCGTAAGGCCAAATAACATTTGACTGGGCAACACAGGTTTATATACTAAGCATTTGACAGAAACACTTTGAGAAATCTGGACTCTAAAGTTGGAGCGTCCTTCTCAGAGATTCAATATGGGCTGAATTCTGCTTAGTGGCCACGGGTTGGTCTACTCTACTGGTCCACTTTGGGCTTACCTAATAGGCTATGCTGGGGGGGCAGGTATCGATGTTCTGATTTCTGAAGTAAAGGAGCCAGGTTATGAAAGAGGTAAAATGCTCCTGTCTGCTGGGCTTTTTTACACGCATCATCATCTTCCTTCAGTTCAAATAAATACCTGTATTTTGGAAAATAAAGCATCACAAAACCACATTTAGTTACATGACAGCATTCGTCTTTGAGAATTCTATTCCTACATCCCACTCCTACCACGGTTATTTCCTCTTACTCATTTACATCCTAAATTGCTCTGTAAAGGATCTGAGGTGACTGCAGGCAATCAGTCCCTCCTTTGTCCTTCTGTATACTTGCCAATACTTCTGTGGTCACACTTACGTTGTATTATCAATTTGTCTGTCTTCCCCAAAAGACTATGATCTCCTTAAGGGCAGGGTCTGCTTTACTTCTGTGTCCCAGTAATTAGCATATTGAATGGCCCAGTTCCATAAATATTTATTGAATTGAACTTCAAGGGTAATAAATATTTACTGAATTGAACCTCAAGGTACTTTGCCAACATTACACTGTGAGGCAAGAATTTACATGCAGTGGACTGAAAGGAAAACAAGTACAGTGATAAAACATCCACCACAGAATCCCGAGGCTTCACTACTGCAGACCCCACACCTTCAGCAACTCCCATTCAATCTGAGGAAGATAAAGCAAAGTTCACCCTCAATGCACAGTGACCCTCATTTCAAGCATCTAGTGCCCCAGGTGGACACCACAGGCTCCTCATCTTTACTGAAGTCACCACTGATGGGAAAGTGAAGCCATTACTTATTTAGTAAGTGTAATATTTTCAGTAGCCAAAGTAAAAATGTGGAAAAGAGAACATCGTATAATTAGCTGGATGTGGATTCTCTTTCTGGGTCTTGGGGATATCCCATTTTTCCCTGTTGAAAGCCCTAAAACAGACTCTTGGGTATATGGTGTATTTTGTCACTTAAGCGGGAAACCGGGTTTACAGAGATTTTCTGTCGTCTGCGAGCTTCTGTAACACCAGCAGGCAGACTTGGCTCAACATGAAAAACTACAAAGCAAAATGGTAAACACACCCCAGCAACATCTTTAGGAGCTATTTTTGACTGTGTGATGAAAGGGGTTACGATGAAGACAAAGGAAACCCGAGATTTTAATAGTGGTGATATTTTTAAACTTATTATGCGTGACTACAGCCTCCTGGACCAAAGACTCGACGTATGTCAAAGGAGAGACATGTGCCGCTCAGAAGCTCCCAAATATAAACAATGGAACAAACACAGCTGCCTTCGTAAAAGAGCAGAAAGAGCAATACAGCCTGTGCTTTGCCCTAATGACCCTAAAAAGCAAAACACCGAGGTTAAGGTCTTAAACCTGGGGCCTCGCTGGAACTGGAACTGAGATCCAAAAAGTTTACATTCTTCTTGATCAGAAATACTATTTTTAAAAGTTCATTTCCCCCCTTTAGTTAAAATGGGGTGGAAACCACAAAACTAAGATCCAACTTAAACTGTTTTTTTCTTATTATAAAAGTAAAATGTAGTCGTGTAAAAATCAGGAAATACAGTCATCAATTTTTTTCAAAAAAGGAAATCATCAAGAATCTTACCACTCAAAGATGGTCACCGTTTACAGCTCAGAATTCTCCAAACTATTAATATTATGCGTCTATACGTGGTCTATTTAGAATCATACCTACTAATTTGTAGCCTTTTTACTTAAACGTTATTTTTTTATACCACATTCCCTATTAATAGAATTTTATTCTTGTGATTTTTTAATTAATTTTTAACATATTTAATCACTTTAACATACTCATTTTTTAGACTACTCAATAATTCTGTTATTGTTCTCTGAGAACTGCAAGTAACCCAAATGCCCAACAGTGTCTAAAACAAGTATTGCAGTTTCGTTGCGTCCGCATGGTGCTCATGGTATGCTGTGTGCCTTTCCGTTTTGGGTGGGGCTCATATTTGGCAGAGCTTTCCGATGGGAAGCCCTGGTTGTGAGTGTTCCCTCCAGAGGAGCTTTCCATTTGCTTCTGCCTGGTGCCTCAGGGGTACTGTTAGTCTAGGACTACTACTTGCGTTCTTCAGTAGGGGTCTTTGGACCCCACCATATCGATGGTGCAAATGTAAACCCCCAAATTCTATGAGAGCAGGCTTGTGATTTCAAATGGAAAGATACCGTATTTGCGCAGGCTGAGACAAAGAAGTCATTTCCCATTTCCCTGTACTGGTGTAGATTTCTCTTTTCTAGCCTGCCTTTCACTGAAGTATAGTTCTTTGGTGGGGATGGGTACCAGGATTGGAGTTATTTACCTTATTTTCAGGAAACTTCACGAACTATTATTCAGTATAGCTTTTAATTCCATCATATGGGTGTACCGTAATTTAATTAATTTCTTCTTTCCTGTTCATTCAGCCATTCTGCAATGCCTCAGTGCCTACCATGTGCCAGGTGCTGTTTTATACACTATAGGCACCATAGTGGAAAAGACCAAGTTCCTATCTTAATAGAATTTATATTTAAGTATGTCAGGTACTTTAGATATTATTGGAAATTTAGTTTAGAGTTTTTCCTATTATAAATAATTTTCAATGAACACCCTTATGTGTAAATCTTAATCATACAACCTTAATCCTCAGTATCAGATTTTGAGATTCTTATAATTTAATGGGCCAAAGATTGAATAATCAGAGCTCAGGTTGGTTAAAACTCACCGGGTCTTAGTGACATAGGTTGACAGCAGCCTATAGCACCAAAAAGATTTTCTCCTGCAAGCAATTCCACAATACAGAGACATTGTCAGGTCCTTAGAGGAGAGAGGAGTTAAAAAAAAAAAAAAAATCATAGTATGCAATTTAAAGGAATGAGTCACCAAGAGGGTTATACTTTAAACCAGAATAGTATTAATTTTTCATATTAAGGAAAGAGAAACTGAGTAGGAGTCAGATGACCTGGCTTCTAAACTGCATTCCTACTGCTAACTAGCTGTGGGATTTTAACTTTTCAACACCTCTTTTCCTAATGTACAAAATTAAAACCCGTTCCGCCTGCCTAATCAGTTATTATGAGACTCCGCCAACTCCGCCCACTCCCCACAAGAAATGTGTGCTTGTCCTTCCATATTGTGGAATTGTTGCTGGGAGGTAGTTGCTGAGCCAAGGCCTACATTTCTCTCCTCCCTTGTATATAAGTAGACCCCAAACCAATGGAATGTGAGTGGAGTGATGTGTCTCTCTCTAGGCTGAAGCGGTTAAGAAGTGGGAGTGACTTTCACGTCTTCTTTCCTCCCTTCTGCCTGGAAGACTCCAGAATGGCAGAACCATCAGGAGGAGAGGCCTAGATCCTTGAATCACTCACTACATGGAGAAAAGCCACCTGCCAACGAAGAACCCCCCAGACTTGGGCAATTTGTGAGTGAGAAATTAACTTCTACCGTAGTAAGCCACTGAAATTTGAAAGTTTGTTACAGCAGCTAGCAGTACTCTAACACACCAGTAAGCCTGGGAGGGTCTCCCGAGTAATGGAGCCACACTTCTCAGAATACATGAAAACCAAAGCCCCTCTGAATATGGCATAGGAGGAATCCTGTAGATAAGAAAAATATTAAATCATAGCCATTAAGGAACTATTTCAAAAGGCGGCTATGTAAATCTACGTGGATCTGTGATATTTTCTATTTTTTTATATCTCATGGTGAGAGGAAAAAATGCTGTATCTTAAGAATATATTCTGCAGACAGTGATTCCTTTTAAACTGTATATCAGTATTTTATTTCCCATGAAAAGTACATTTCATATTAGCAATAAAAGAGTCAAGAAGTTCCACTGAAACAAGAAAATCAGTACAGTTAAATAACCAACACCCTTTTAACTATGCCCAAGGGAAACAAACTTTGACCCTAATCTACCAAGGAACATCTAAAGTTTAGGCATACTTCTTGGTTGCATAATTATGAATCGCTGGTGACTAATCCTTGGACAGTTTTGACTACCTTTGTCCTAGCCAAGAATAAATTATATTTAGTAAATGACATTCAACGAAGTATTTATTGAGTACTGAGTTTATGCAAGGGCGGTTAAGGAATACCAAAAAATGTACAGGATAAAAATCCTGCCCCCAAGGGACTCTAGCAGGAGAGAGGCAACAAATAACTTTCACAGAAGGCAGTATGTAATATGTGGGTTACAAAGTGTCTCAGGAGACAAAAGTAATTAGACTTGTATGATATACTGGAAGAAATATTTCTGCCTCATATACAGCTCTGAGAATGTAATAAACATTCCTTTCAGCTAGTAATTCTAGGAATTTATCCTAAGAAGGGAAGGATATGTACAGGAGTGTTAACTGAAAATTATGACAAAAGGGAATAATACAGAGCTGTTAAAAATGAATATAAATAAATAAAACAACAGTACATTATATATGTAGTAAGAGGGGAGGATATTCAGAATATATTAAGTAAGAAAAGCAAGTAATTTTTGGTTGGTTTAGCCTGATCTAATTAATTTATATAGAAAAGGACATATACATAGCAGAATACATAAATTAGATACATATTTATTTATATTTTAAAAGTGACTAGAAGTACACATACCAAACTGTTAACAGTGACTAGTTTGGCAGAGTGGGATGGAGATAGAGACTGAAAAGGGTACCTATAATTTTTACTTTATACATTTCTGTACTTCAAAAAAAATTAACCATGTGTACATACTCCTTTTACAATCAAATAAAGTATAATAAAAAGTGGTTTCTGGGTCTATCTGCCCCAGTGAGGCTATTTCCCAGCTACTGTTTCCAGTAAGTACCTCATCACATTCCCCAGGAGCCAAAAGGAATCCCTTTGATGAGTTCCTTGAATCCTGAGGACTGTAAGAGCTTTTTGGTTGTAGTTATGGCTACCAGCTAATCTGTGTGGCCCACTGCCTGATGTTTTGCCTACTTTCTGCTACTAAATACTGCCCCTTGTGAAGTCTCATGGCCTACTGACTCATGGGGTGGTGGTCGCAGAGCTTGTGTAAAACATGGTAAAGTTCTTAATGTAGCTTTGAAGAGAGTATCATTAATCAAGAGGAAAACCAGACTTACTTTAACTGAGAATTGTACCTTCATTGGTACAGTCATAAGCCTAGTAGATAAAGATTAAGTCTAATTCCTTTTCTAAATGGTCCCTTGTATATTTTTTTTAACTTTACCTTTCCTTGTATATTTTTTATATACATTTTACATGAAAGCAGTATAGAGACTTATTTAAAAGTCAAGGAAGAGCCTGGCCAGTTAGCTCAGCGGTTGAGCATTGACCTAGGATCCAGGAGATTGCAGTTAGATTCCCGGTCAGGGCACATGCCTGGGTTATGGGCTCGATCCCCAGCAGGGACCATGCAGGACACAGCTGATCGTTTACTCTCTCATATTGATGATTCTGTCTTTCCCTCTTCCCTCCTCTCTCTGAAATCAATAAAGACATATTAAACAAAAAAAAGTAAAGGAAGAGGAAATGATTTCCTTAAAATTCAGCTTTACCTGTATTTTTCTCTTATTTTTAAAAATAAAATAGCTATATACTTTATTGACAGCCATATTGTGATTTTTTTAAAAAATTGATTTCAGAGAGAGATAGAGATAGAAACAATAATGATGAAAGAGAGTCATTGATCAGTTGCCTCCCGCACACCCCCTACTGGGGATGGAGCCTGAAACCCAGGCATGTGCCCTGACTGGAAATCAAACCGTGACCTCCTGATTCATAGGTCCGATGCTCAGCCACTGAGCCACGCCAGTAAGGCTGTATTTTTCTCTTTTAAATAGATTATTTAAATTACAAAATTAATATCACTACACCTCAGGATATCTGGAAAACAGAATTGTGAGAGCACCCATAATGTCACCATATAAATATAATTTAAGATGTACTTTCTACACATGTAATTTTTACATATTTATAATCAGAGGACACATTTTTTTCAACTTGCTTTCATGAAACACATTATAAGCAGTTTTCTATGTTTTTGTAGAAGCTTCATAATTTTTTTGGTTACATAATATATTCAAGCATACTCATACAGATTTTACTAAACATTCCCCTGATTTGAGACATTTAGGTTGCTCTGATTTTAAATTACAAGAAATACCACCTAAATAACCTCTGCGCTGATATTTTCAAGTTACTTCTTTAAGATAAGTTACCCTAAGTAGAATTACTGGGATAAAATTTATTTTAAAATCAATGGCTCTTTCTACACATTGTCACACAAGATTCAATAACATTTGGTTTAAAAAAACTTTTTTATTTCTTTGGCCACTATAGAGATTGAAAGTGTTTTCAGATTTAATAGTTCTTGTTTCCCTTTTGTAAAATGTCTGCCGTCCTGTGCTCATTTATTCATTGTAATTGTACTCTACATTTGACCATTCTAATTTTTAAAATATTATAGGACATTTGCAGTATATTCCACAATTTGATCACCAAAATGCACTATAGGAACCAAATGCTGTATGTATGGTTTTTCTCTGTGAAGCAGTCATTCAGCCTGAAGCTCAGTACAAAAAAAAAAAAAAAAGGTTCATTTTAACAGTCAGGAGGATAAGACATTACTTTAGGATGAAAATATAATTTCTTATAGCCCTATACTATTCAGAAATCTAGTGCAGGGAAAATTTTGCTACTTTTTTTTCTGAAATATTTGTGATTTTTCACTATCTTTTGGGGATCTTCAGTGTGATGCATAATTCTAAGTGTATTGACCCAGGGGCTCAGTTCTGGTAAACATGCTACCATACTCACATCCTTCTGCTCAAATGACACATTACAAACAGAATAGTTGTTATTGTTTGAATTGGCAACTATTGGTGTATTTTAACGCCTGACAACACACTGAGGATAAAAGTTCACTATTGGCAAAATACAGGGTGGGGCAAAAGTAGGTTTACAGTTGTATGTGAAACGCAGTTTATTCTTGTACTATTATTTATTAATTATTGTGTTATTTCCTATACAAACAACTGTAAACCTACTTTGCCACACTGTGTACATTTGGCAGAAAATACCAGCACCATTATTTTACTTTAGATGTCAAGCTTAGGCCTGCCTTCTATTTTATTTACAGTACAAATGCATAGAGACTCGGGTCCTTTTATTCCTGGCTCACCCACTGACTGAGTTTGTGGCCTGGGGCTATCACCTAACTTTTCAGAGCTTGGTTTTTGTCTCAGTTCTCACAGGGAAAGGAAGGAGAGAATATGAACCTAAAGTGTATGACAACTATGTCAAACCTAATTCTCAGATCTGTTACACTGTAAAATGCTTAAAGGTTAGGATTGTGTCTTCACTCTCTAGGGCAGCTAGCACAGTGTAAAACACAATATACATGAATGAATGAATGAATGAATGCATGCATTTATCCCATTTTATGGGAAGATAAAGCTTTGAGAAGTTGACCAATCTGAGACCACAATCTAGGGAGCAGCAGCCAAACCCAGGGGCGTTCTCATCTTTTGATAAGAAATATATGGGAAAGCATTTACCGACATTAATTTATTATTTGTTTTTAAAAAGTACAAGGACTGATAGAGATGAAAGGTAATATTGTTTTTACTGAAAACTATTAAATGATGAGGCAAATCCCTTAAGTCACAATTTCTCTGAATCCCCTGTAATGAATGATGCACACAGTTGTAGTCCTGTTCATCTTAACAGAAGACAGATTAATTTAGAGAGCACTACCTAATGAAAAAGCTCATCGTGAATCTCTCTGGTTACTTGCACCACGAGACCAGGTTTGGCAGTGTTTCAGAGCGCTTTTCAGAGTCTGTCTTCTCATTACAACGGACAGGAATGGGCCGGGAAAGATGCAAAACTGAGGAGCCACTGGGATACAGATTTCAAGGTCTCACTGACCAGCTTTATGGTTTACTTTCTGAAAACTAATTTTTCCTCCCTTAGTTCAAAAATAGTTCAGGCACAATGCAGGGAGGTGAGCA